AAATATATCTCTATTGATTTCAGGGACAGGAAGGGAGAGGGAGAAAGAGAAACATCAATGATGAGAGAGAGTCATTGATCGGCTGCCTCCTGCGCGCCCCCGACTGGGGATCAAGCCCATCACACGGGCATGTGCCCTGACCGGGAATCGAACCCCGATCTCCTGGATCCTAGGTCGATGCTCAGCTGCTGAGCCACGCCCGGCCGGGCTGGGATACATTTTTAAGGCAGAACCGAGAGGATCTGTGTACAGATTGAATGGGGTGAGGGGTGAGAAAGAAAGAGGAGCCGAGGATGCTCCCCGGCATGTGGCCTGAGCAGCTGGGCAGGGTGCTGCCTTTAGCTGAGTTGGAGAAGACCTCAGGTGGAGGGTCTTTTTGTGATTTCTTACACCGTCCGCTTGGTGGGCAGGGGCAGCCCCTTTTCCTGTTTTCTTGTTTTGTTTTGTGTTTTTTAGCCGGCCCAGCTGGGAAGTTTCGATTGGCACTTAGGGAGGGGGATGTGGGAGAAGAAAGCAAATGCTGTGATTCACATGCGTTAAAAATAATGTGCACTGGCCATGTCCCGAATGTTACCTAAAGCGAGCCACTTGTGTTCTTTCCCTCGGAGTGGGACAATTTGTGCCCTGGGAGTGACAAAGGACGGCGAGGTTATTCATTTTGGTTCAAAGGGTGTGTGGGCTGCAGCCTGCAGGACTCTGGTTTCTGAGGCCACTTAGGGGATTATCCGGAGAGAAAATTGTCCCGTGAATGGTTCGTGAGCCCAGCGGGGGCTAATCCTGAACTCCTTCCTGTGGGCTGGGAATGTCTTGGGGCTTGTTCCCCCCTTAGCCCACTAGACAGTCAGCAAACACTTTCTGGGCTCTCTCCTGCCCTAAATACCAGGAGGTGGGGTGGGGGAGACTGTAGCTGACAGGTAGCAATAAAAGGGACACATTTCCCCCTCCCCCAGGAGCATCTCGATGGTTACTCAGCTCTGGAGTCATAGTGCTCAGGGTCAAGTCTGGCTTCTGTACTTACGAGCTGCGTGACCTTGAGCAAGTGATTTAAGCTTTCTGGTCCGTTGTTTCTCAGTCCATAAAAGGGGGAAATCCCAGCACCCACTGTATAGAGTTCTCCTGAGACTCAAAAGAGATAATCCATATATAGTGATTAGCCTTTGTTTCTATGATCCAGCGCGAGAGATACAGAAAGCAACCGCTTATTACGCACCTACAGTGTGTGGGCCTTCTGTTAAATGATTCAGCCATATTAAACTGTCAGATTGACCTCCTAACAGCCCTGCCCAGTGGCAGTTCCTGACACAAGGGAACCAACCAAAATGCAGAAGTTAAGCCCTTGGGTTAAAGTCACACGGCTGGCAAAAGAAATGATAGGATTTGAACCCAAGACCGACTAGCTTCCTTTCTGCTCATGCCAGGATAGGTTGAGATGCGCTTCCTGTGAGCAAAGAGCTTCAGGCACATCTTGGAAAGGAGGCGGCCCACCCAGCTGGGGCGGGTCTGGGTTGTCTTAGCCCGGGCTCCTCAGGGGGTCTCCAGCACCCACCCATGCCTGGCTCCCATCTCTCTTGGAGAAACCAACCCACCCAGCCTCTTTCGCCCTTAGTAGTACAATCAAGACATTTTTTTACCACAATTTTATTTTGGGGGAGAACTTCCTGTGTGTTCCCCAGCTCTCCCTCCACTGAGGTCGCCCTCCTCTCTCACACCTCCCCTGTTCAGGCACAGAAATAGTCCCAGCTGTGAGAGGAAGGTTCCAGAGTTTAAAACTGCAACTGGGTACTATTTATACTCCGGCCGGAAAGATGTTTTTTTGCACAGCATTTATTTTGTTGTGGTGGCGACGGCTCCTGCTGCAGGCAGCCGGCTCTGGCACCGTCTAAACATTTCCCGGGGACAAGTGGGTGGCGAGGAACCTTCAGGTGTGAGGGGCAGTGCCAGGCCTGCCCAGAAATGTCTGCTGTCGCTTCCCGCGAGCAGGGCGATTGGGCCTGGGAAGCCAGAGAAAGAGGCTCATGGTCTAGATGAAGTTTTCCCCTAGATGCCTGGTAATTAAAAACAAAACAAGACAAAAAAACAAACAAAACCAAAACACGTGGTATTTTATAAGCCATGAAAGTCGCACATACTTGAGGGGGAAAGGTTCAAACTAATTTTTACACAGTGATGAAAGCAGGGTTATAAACTGGCAGACCCGTTCACATTCGTGTTTAGCTTGGCCCACGGAGCATTAGAAAAAATTTTTTTTTTGAATTTGTGCCACTACTTAAGAACTGGGACATTTCCCATAAAATGAGAATTTCTGGCCTCTCTTGGAAAATGAAAGGAGTCTGGCACCCCTGGGCCCATGTCCTGATGGGCTGCTAGTGGTGGCTGCTGTAGCACTTTGAGCTCAGCACGAGATCCAGTCCCTGCATCACTTGTTCACGTCACTGCCTGGCCCGGGTCACTGGCGTTTTGGACCCTTCAAATAACATAAAACCGTCTAGTCTCTCTTGTCAGACTCCCCAGTCCCTACTCTCCTGGGCCAAGTAAGTACTAGGAATAGGGTTTCCAAAGAAATGACAGGGTGCCCAGTTAAGATGTGAATTTCAGAGAAACAACAAATAATATGTTAGTGTGGGTATGTCCCCCGCGCATCAAGGTTGGTCTGCATCTCCGCAGGCCTTTGTCTGCCGCACACGTATCTTGGTGGTGTTACAAGGTTAGGTTCATATTTTGCATCTTCTACGACTCACGTTTCCTCTCTGGGTGTTTCTCAGGCATTTCTCAGGGTTTATAGGAGCAGCTTTGAGGCTGTGGACTCAAACCTACGTGAGAATCCTGGCCCCACCACAGGCTAGCTGTGTGACCTTGAGCGGGTTACCTCACCTCTCTGAGCCTCAGTTTCCTCATCTGAACAATGGGGATGATAAGGGTAGCTTTGTTATTTCCCGGTGGGATTTATTTCATGTCTTTTGAAAGAATGTCCCCGGGAAATGTCGAGTGCATGGTCCACGGTGGCTTTCACCGGCCCTCGGGTGTCGTGATTGCTGCCAGCTTATCGCTATTTCAAATGAGGCTCGGAGAGGTTTTGGGAAGGAAATGGAGGGAGGTTTAGAGGGAGCTGGGCAGGTAATCCTAAGATTTAGTTGGCTTTTTTTTAAATGAAGGGCGTTTGTCTCCCTGGAGACCACTGGCTAACCTGGATACTGTGTCTCTCCAGGCCAGGGAGGTGGAGGAGACCGTCGAGGGGATGCTGCTGCGGCTGGAGGAGTTCTGCAGCCTGGCTGGCGCGGTGAGTGTCGGCCTGGAGCGGGCTCCCCCGTCCCCCGCCGGCGCCGGGCGCCTGGAGCTTTCCGGGGAAGCCGTCGGGCGGGGATTTAGCAACCAGAGGGGCTGGGCGGCGGCCAGGGCGCAGGCAGCCCCTCGGCACCGCGTCCTGGGGCAGCCATCTTGACAGGCCTTCCCCGTGGCTCATTCCGCCGAGGAGCCCGGCCCGGGCCACCAGGTGGCACCCTCGGCTCCGGCGCGGGCCTTCGCGGGGATCTGACACTATATTTAACTTCCCTGGGCGCCCTGCGCAGTGCCCGGCAAACGCGGGGACACCGGGAAGTGCTTCAGGCCCGCGAGGCCCAGCTGGAGCCTCCTGCCCGGGCCGTGCCCGCGCCGGTGGGCACCGCTTCCTTCCCGAAGCCTGTCGCGCGCTCCACGTTGGCCTCCTACCCTGTTTTGTTTTGTTTTGTTTGGGTTTTTGTTTTTTTAAATCAAATCCTCTTGGTTGGATGGGGAAGAACGTGGAAGATGGTGCCGTGGGCCCAGGAGACGGGATCGCCACTCCAAACCCTCTAGAAATCTCCTCTAGATCCTGGCGCCCCCAGGATTGCTGCCGGCCAGGCGTGAGGCCCCAAGGAGCAATGAGAGAATGTTTCTGGACGTTCCCAAGCTTATGAAAAGCAAACCAGCAATCAGAGAGGCAGGCTTCTGCCTGGGGCCCAGAGGGTAGAGCTCAGTGTCGTGCCCAGGCCCCGCCTCGCCCTGCAGCGGGGGAAGCCTGGTGGGCAGTGGTTTGGCTCNTGCCGGCCAGGCGTGAGGCCCCAAGGAGCAATGAGAGAATGTTTCTGGACGTTCCCAAGCTTATGAAAAGCAAACCAGCAATCAGAGAGGCAGGCTTCTGCCTGGGGCCCAGAGGGTAGAGCTCAGTGTCGTGCCCAGGCCCCGCCTCGCCCTGCAGCGGGGGAAGCCTGGTGGGCACAGTGGTTTGGCTGTGCCCCTGAGAAGCCAGGTCTGCAGAGGGGTTTGTGAGAGCCACGGGAGTCACAGTGACCGCAGCCCCAGATGTTTACTGAGCATCTCCTCTGTGCCAGGCACCCTATAAAGTGTGCTTCCCGTGTAATCTCATCTCCTCTGGAAGCAACCCAGCATGATGGGCACCAGGTCATCCCCATTCGTTCAACACACCTACCTTGTGCCCGCCTTGGGGAGAGGCCGTGAACAGACAGAAATGTCCCTACAAGAACCTATGTGCGTTTTTCTCGAGAGCCGCTCTTTTAGTTCAGGTGGGAGCTGGGCAATGAGACAGACTTTGAAGGGCCTCTACAGTCCTTTCTTCATCAGCAATACGGGCGCCTTCTGCGACCGGGCCCTGTGCGAGTCTGAGGGTGCAGAGTCTGATCCGCTCTGTTCCCCTGAGCCCCAGTCTGCTGGGGGAGCCCGGTGTGTGTCCTGGTCCCTGTCATTCGGTGTGGAAATGCTGTCATCATGGTGTGCTCAGGTACAAAGGGAGCCTGCAGAGGTTTTGAAAAGAGAAAGAGGGTCTAGAAGGAACTGGGCACGTAATCCTAAGACTTGGTTTGCTTTAAAAAAAAAAATCAAAGGCATAAGCATTAGTTTCTGCCTGGGAAATTGGGAAGGCTTCGTAGAACAGGTGGTGATTAATTTGGGGGTTGAAGGAGCAACAGAAAGAATTCAGCCGCTGGGGAGGACAGGTGTCCAGGCAGAGGGCCTGGCCTGTGGGTATGGCCTGCCGGGCATAGTGTGGACAGTGAGGGCCCATAGGTGGGTGTGGATTTGGAAGATGGTGTGAACTGGTGACCCAGGGACATTTTTGTTGACAAGTCCTAGCCCGTCCTCCTGTGAAAGGAGACCCCTCCCTCCCCCCCGTTGATCCAGGAGGACAACTTGGGGTGGGGGTCAGCTTGGACAGGTGGAGAGGGGCCCACGCCACGCTTGCCTTAAAAACTGCCAAGGCTTCTTGTGCTGGGAAGTCAGTGTTTGGGTCGCCAGGAGGCCCAGGGTCGCAGGCTGCATCGAGAAGTTCTCCGAATTCAAAACCTTATGCAAAGACTTTAATACCGAGGTGACACAGGTGACCCACAGGCCCAGTCCCGTCCAAAGATATGTTGGATGTTTCTGCGGGGAAGGAATTCGCTACTGACATTTATAGAATGTCATGCAAAAAATCTGGGTTTCTGGCTTCTTAGAAAAACAAAGATCCCCCCCTCCTTGGGTGCTTGTTTCCACCTGGCCAGCATCAGCAGAGCTGCATAGTGGCTGTCCCCTGTGGCAGCTCACCACTGTCCCCACTGCCCCCCATGGGAGCCTCCCTGACTCCACAGCCACCTGCCAGCTACATCCAGCATCTGCTCGTGTGTTTTAAGGTAGAGCATGTTTCTCTGTATTTTAGGGCCTGCTGAATGCGGGCACATAAAACCAGACCAGGAGGGCCCCTGTTTCAAGAAATGGAGGAGAGTGCACTTCCCGTGGATGTGAAAACTATTTCAGTGTGTTTATATGCAAATAAACATGTCTATGTTGGTAGAATGCACCTAGGACACACTTTCGTGGCCCCTGGAGACATTTTGAATGTGCAGTCCTACATTAATGCTCTGTGCTGATGCTGTTTAGATCAGGGGTCCTCTGGGCCCCAGCAGCTGATGATTAGCTGACCTAGTGTGTCTGCATCCAGGTGTCGTGAGCTCCACGGTACAGAGAGAGGAGACCAGCTATCGGCCCTGGTGCGGACGGACCTCCATTTCTCTTCATCTAAGCTAGCAATGTGTGGGGACCTCTGGGGGGCAGGTGATGTCACACCACAGACCACTGTCCGAGTCCCTGCCTTGTCTTTTGGAAACACTGATCAAGTTAGAGGGCTGAGAGAAGCCAGGCTCCTTGGTACACAGTACAGAGAGAAGCCTATTTCATTTCTGATAAAATCAGGCTGTTTGAAATGAGGGTCCGGCTTTCTGTCTGGTGCATTAACTCCTCTGCCGGCCTGTCCTCAATCACTCTCTGTGACTGCAGTTCACTGCCCTGTGCCTGCGACCTGTTTTGACCTTAGATACAGTGCCAGTTGCTGCCGCTTCAGGCTCTGAGTCTCCCACTTTGGGGCCTCGGACACAGCACGTCACCTCTCTGTACCTCTATTTTCTCCTCTATAAAGTGGAGATAATGGTTCCGACGATCTATTGCTGCACCCAACTACCCTGAAACTTAGTGGTTTACAACAGCAGCTCATTTATGATGTGGGCCAGGGCCCGGCACAGAGGGGATGGCTCATCGGAGCCCCGTGGCACCTGCTGGGCTGGGGATGTCCAAGGTGGTTCCTTCTCTCACTTGTCGGATGTCTGGGCTGGGAGGGGGCCAGCTGGGGACTGGTTGGCATGCCCGTCCTTCTTGCAGCCTCCCCACGTGGCTAGCTTGGGCTGCCTCCTAGCGTGGCGGTCTGGCCCCCTGAGCTAGCATTTCAGCAGACAGGAAGCAGAAGATGCCAGTCTCTGGAGGCTTCCATATGGAAATTGACACAGTGTCACTTTTGTCATATTTTCAGGGGGGTGTCACATCAGTCACCCAGATCCCAGGGGAGAGGGCGTAAACCCCATCTCTTCATGGAAGGAACGTGAAGAACTTGTAGACATCTTTAACCTGCTGGTGCTGTCCATCTCCGAGCTATTGTGAGGAGCAGATGAGGCAGGGATGTACACGTCCCACCCACTAGTGTGGCCCAAGGGGACAGGGCAGGCAGTGACAAGTATGGACACGGATGTGGAGCCACTGGGACTCTCACTGGCCAGTGGAAAGGCAAAAAGCCACTTTGGAAAATAGTTTGGCGGTTTCTTATAAAGCCGAACGTCTGCTTACCCTACATCCTAGCAGTTCTCATTCTAGATGATTTCCCAAAGGACGTGAAAACAAGTGTCCGCAAGGACTTGAACGCAAGTGTTCGTAGCAGCTTTGTTCATGGTGTCCCAAACTGGAAACTACCCAAATAGCAGGCATGGGTGAATAAATCGCTATTTATTCATACCCAGCAGTGGGGGAGAACGTACACACAACAGCGCGACGACTCTCACAAACGTGATGGTGCGTGAATGCATCCTGTGTGGTTCCCTTAATACGAAGTTCAAAAATAGTCAAAACTAATGTATGGTGGTGGAAGCCAGAGAGGTCGGCTTTGGGAGTGCCACGCCTGGGAAGATGGGATGTTCCGTACACTGGTGTGGGTGGCGGTTACACAGATGTAAACACACGTACGAATTGATTGAGCTGTCCACTCAAGGCCCGCGCACTTTATGTCATGTGCACTCAATTAAAAATAATTGCTTAGCACAGTGCCTGCTATATACTACGTGACCCACACAGTAGCTACTGGGGTTATTGTCACCAGTATCAGCACCAGAGGGTTGTGACACTGACAAGGTTATATACAGGACCTGGATTTGTAAAGCCTTCCAGCTCGGTGCCCTCTGGGGTTGGGGCAGGTGGCCCAGGCCCTCTGAAACCACGGTGGCCTTGGGCCCAACTTCTGGCACAGAGCACACACTTTGCTCACATAAATGGAGAAAATTTCCTGTTGGCCTCAGCCCAGCAGTTGCATTTGGCATTGGTGTGTGTGTTCTTGGGTCAAGTGCATTTGGCTCTCCTTCCTGGGGGCCCTGAATCATCCTGGACAGCCTTCTTTGCTCTGTGGTAACCCCACCTCCACTGCCCAGACTTCTGGGCTCCGAAGACCAGCTTTGAGGAGGGGCATGAACAGGCTGGGGAAGGAAAGGGTCTGCCAGGCCCCCAGCCCAATGAACCTGGCTGGGGGTTCATCCTGGCAGTGGCTCAAAAAGCATTGATTCCTCATTGACATCTCTTTGCTCTTCTCAGGAACGTATAAAACTTGCAAATTCAGGTGCCTGGGACGTGATGGTGTGTGGTGGGTTGGGTGTGAGAAATGTGTCGCTTCCCTTTGACTCTGCTATAACAAGAAAAATGCACAGGGTGGCCAGGGACACCATGTTGGGGAGCACTAGGGAGTGGTGGAGAGTGTGGTTAACCAAAGGAGGGAGCTGTCACCCAGCTCTAGCTGATTGTTGTCACGTGGAACTTGGCCTCAGTGTGGCATGGTCTTTAGCATGCAGAAATCCAGATCCAGTTTCTAGGGAAATAGTCTTAATTTTAGATCTTGGCACGTAACTTGGTTGTGCTTTTGTTTTGTTTGTTTTTAAGACATGCAGGCTGGTTCTAACATGGGTAGATAGAAAGAACATGTTTGTAGATCTCTGGCTTTGGGGGGTGGCCTCAGACCAACCTGGATTGGAGTCCCCCATCTTCCACTTTGCAGCTTTGTGATGTTGAGTCAGCTCATTTAGTTTTCCTGAGTTTTTCTTAGTTTCATCACCTGTAAAATAAGGTTGAAGATAAAATAGTTCCTCTTCACAGGGTCTGCTACCCTCTGCTTTCCCCCTAGGGCAGAGCCTGCCTTTTGGGCAGGTGTAGATAGATCCCTAACACCTACAGTTTCAGCTGGTGGAGAAGCATCCTCAGAGAGGGCCTCTGGCTTGGCCCACAGACCCTCTGTTCCTCTGGTTCCTTCAGATTTAGAGGGAGGCAGGGGAGCGCTCTGTGAATCTCCTCTCTACAGAGTTCCCTTCTCTCCTGTAAGTTGCTAAGACCAATTCCTCCCAATTCTCTCTCTCAACCCGCCCCCCCAATATGTTTCTTTGCCAGTTAATAGAAAAGATTGCGTTTGACCCATTGCATCCTAACCTCACCGTGAGTTGTCTGCTCTGTATTGCGTCATGGCGATTTCTTCTGAGGTCAGCCTCGTGGAGAGATGGGCTTTTCTCTAGAAACGTGGCCTTGGAGAAACAGGGGCGGGGGATAGCGAGGACTTTTCCCTATCGCGTAGCAAATGCAGGTGCCTGCGGAGCCAGGCAGCATCTGGACATGAGCGCAGGGGACAGGTGAGGCATTAGGGAGGGGTGGCGACTGTGGAAGCTGGAGAGCTCATGCCCGTCTGCAGGGAGCAGCCTTCAGTGCCTGGGGAGACGCAGGCCACGTGTTGCTGAAGCTGCTAGAGAAGTTGTACATCCAGATTTAACCATGTCAGTCTTTTTAAAGTCCCATTTATGTGCTTTATTGTAGAATAGTTTTAGATTTACAGAAAAGTCGCAGGGGCAGTACAGAGAGTTCCCATATCCCTTCATCTGCTTCCCCATTTGTTAACATATTACATCACCGCGTACCTTTGTTGAAACGAAAAAAACGACGCTGGTCTGTTGCTGCTCCCTGGACTCCACACTTGATTTTGGTGTCGCCAGCTTCCCATTAATGCCTCGTTCCTGTTCCAGGCCCCCACCTAAGTGACCACATTGCCTTCGGTGGTCACGTCTCCTTAGCCTCCGCTGTCTCTGATGGTTCCTTTCCTCGCTTTCTGCGACCTGGGCAGTTTGGAGGAGCACTTGTCAAGTACTTTGTAGATGGCCCCTCCGTTTGGGTTTGTCTGATGTTTTTCTTGTGGTCAGGTGGGGGTTGTGCATTTCTGGAGAGAAAGCCACATAAGTGAGGTGCCTTCTCGTCACATCATCTCGGGCAAGTGACACCCCACAGGACATCGCTGGGATGTTAGTCTTGGTCAGGTCTCTCCACGGTGACATCGCCACATTCCCCTCGGATCATTTGCTCCTATCAGACTCATGTGTATTTATTTTATACTGTGGGTTCTAATCCAGTGTTACATTATTTATTTTGTTCAGATTGTTCCGACGTTGCCTCTTGGCTCTTTTGGGTGGCTCCTGTGTTCCTTTGACATGCTCCCATCCCTCATTTTCTTAAACACTTCCTCTCTTCCTGGCTCCACTGGGCACTCCAGACGCTTACACTTCCCCGCCCCAGCCCTGGAATCGCCGTCTCTCCTAGGAACCCCATTGGAACTTTAAAGTTGGAAATTAAATTAAAAAACTAAGCACTTTGTGAGCTCAATCAGGTGCATCCGCAGGCCACATTCAGACATAGAAGTTCTTGCTTAATCCCCAGAGCATTCTTTCAAGAGAAGGACCAGTATAATTCCTGTTTTACAGATGAGGAAACTGAGGCACAGGGCAGAGACTGAGGCCAGGCAGCCTGAGCCAGACGCCGCCCTCTCAGGATGATCTTCAACCTCCTGGGGTCAGGGCTGGGGAAGGGAGTTTCCACTGGACAGTGGGCTTGGCGCCAGGAGCCTGGGGAGATGGCAGTGCTGTGACCAGAGGAGGGAGCCGGGACAGGAGTGTGGTTTTGGACATGCAGGGCCATGGGACGGCTTCCGTGGAACCCAGGGCGTCCTGAGGGTGGTGGGAACAGAATTTCAGGAGAACCGTAGGTCTTGTGTACTTAGGCAGAGAGGGGAAGAAACACAGGTACAGTTTTTAAAAATGTTTTTACAACTAAAATTTTGTCCTGAGTTGTCACCTGTGTTGCTTATCTATTGCTGCCTAACAAATGACCCCAGACTTCGTGACCTCAGCAATTCTTTTTTACTTGATAGTGTCTGTGGTCAGGAGTCTGGGTGCAGCCCAGCTGGTTTCTGTGGTTCAGACTCTCAGGCTGCAGCAAGGCACTGGCCAGGGCCATGGGCACCTCAGGGCTCAAGAGGGGCAGGATTGCACCCGGGCAGAGTCGGTGGTTCTGGGCAGCATTCGGCTCCTGACTGGCAGCTGGCAGGAGGCGCTCAGTTCCTAGCCACGTGGGCCTCTCCAGCATGGCAGCCTGCTCCATCCAAGCGAGCAGCCGAGAGGGCATGTGAGAAAGAGGAGGGGAGAGAGACGTGCGTGAACAAGCCAGCGACAGAGAGAGACTGCCAGCAAGGTGGAGTGACAGTCGTCTGTACGCTAGGCTCAGGAGTGACATCGCTTGTTTTGGCTGACAGCTCCTCATTAGAAGCAAGTCTCTACGTCAAGCCCACAGACAAAGGGAGGGGATCCCACAGGGCGTGAATAGCAGGAGGCGGGGTCACTGAGGACCCTGTCAGACTGCCTGCCACACCAGGCCAGACACTCTGCTAAGCATCTGTCCTCACAGCATTCCAAGGAAGCAAGGGCCATTGTAGTTGCTTCCCTGTCCAGATAAGCAAAGGAGGGCTCAGAGAGGTGCAGTGACTTGCCCAGGGTCACACAGCTCATGATGGGTAGAGCTCAATAGTCCCGCTCCGAGTGTATCCACTGGTGTTTCTCTGACTGTCCCCAGATCCCCACTCCAGCATAGCCTTGGAGCCTGGCTGAAAACAGATGGCCAGCTGACCCCTGACAAAGTAGGCCAGCCTCTGAGGGGCCTGGGAACCAGCATTTGACTGGCTTCCCGCAGGGCATTCGGATGCTCCCTGGGGCCTGAGAGCGGCCGGTGTGTATACTGCCTCTCTGCACGGTAGGGTCACAACGGGGAAATGGAATTTCTCTCTCACACACCAAGCGCTGGGCTCGGTTCTTTTGGCCCTGAAGGAAAATGGAGGCTTAAGTGTCTGATTTCAGTGATAAAAGGAAGGTGGTGGCTTCATAAAGTTCACAATCACTTTTGGGGTCCTTCCAAGCAGAAGAAATTGAGCATTAAGTGAGATGCGTGGTGCACGGGAGACGCTCAGCACAGTGTCCGCACGTAGGAAGCACCCTGACAGGTTGTGTTTTTCATTAACATTGTTCATGTTAATGATCAACTCATTAGTATTATTAATTCCAGGGCAGTGAAAACTTGGCTCACTTCTAATTCAGTTTAGAGATTTAGACTCTTTCCTTTGCTCCAGTTTAGTGGTTTAGAAAATGAAGCCCTGGCCGGGTAGCTCAGTTGGTTAGAGCATCGCCCCGATATGCTGAGGTTGTGGGTTCAGTCCCCAGCCAAGGCACATGCAAGAGTCAACCAATGATGCATAAGTAAATGGAACAACAAGCTGATGTTTCTCCCCATCTCTCTCTCTCTCTAATCAATCAATAAATTAATTTTAAAAGAAAATGAAGGTACTTTGTTTGGGACTAGGGGTTGGTGGTGGTTTTGGGGGAAAACAATTAACTTGCGGTTCAATAAATAATACCTGGATAGGGCTGGGCCCCGAGAGGCGGTGGTGTGGGTCTCCACCCGGGACTCTAGGTTGGTCCTGAGCCTGCCCCTGAGCCGGATGCCTCTCATGTCTGGGCCAGCAGCAAGGCCTCTGTGGTCCCTGGCCGATCCCAGAGGCGGGCCGGAGGATGCGGCGATGGGTCAGAGGGCCTCATGAGCTGTTTTATTCTCTGCAGATCAGGAGCGACACTTCACAGATCTTGGAGGAAAACATCCCTCTCCTTAAGGCCAAGGTGACAGAAATGCGTGGCATCTACGCCAAAGTCGACCAGCTGGAGGTATGTCCAGGAAAATGAGCTTTCTTTGTGAGATATGTGGACTGGTTCTGCCTCTTCTGTCCTGTCTTCTGAGATACTGATCTGACCTTGGGAGTGCCAGGCATCAGACGTAGTGCAGGGGGTTGAGGCTATACTCACATGGTATTTTAAAACTATGACAAATATGAATTTATATAAAGTATTCTATTTAAAATTGGGGTACTTTCTATAAAAATCTGAATGTTAAACTGCTTTTGGAAATTTAGGAGCTTTGATAACCCTGGACTCACATTGCTTTAAATACTTTCATCTATTTATTGTTCAGGGTATAAATATATAAAGTGCACCCATCTAAGTGTACAGTTCAGTGAATTTTTACACATATAAACTCCCACGTGACCCAAATTGAGAAATGGGACATTTCCAGCCCCTGGGCCGAATTGTAGATCTGGTGGCAGCTGCCCATCAGATGAGGTGTGTGCTTTCTAGTTCACCACAGTCCCCACCATGCCCTACTGCCTCACTGCTGCCTTCTCTCCCCCATCTGTTGCTTGTGTGGGCCAAGCTGCATGGCATCTTATTTTCCTCCTTGCTGCACTGCAGAATTGGTGCCCTCCCTGCCCCATCTCCCAGAGGAGGAGCGTAAGCTCCAAGACATAAGCAATTTACCCAGGGTCACACAGCTAATTCTGTGACTCAGCTTCCATCCAGTGGGGTCTAAACTCTTAATTGTACTGTGGCTCTCAGCTTGGGATCTTGGCTCCTTGCACAGAGAAGACCAGGAGGCTGGGAGGAGCTTGCAGAGTAGTAGTGCTCACCTGGACAGAGGGAATTTGGGCCCCTGCGAGCTGCAGGCGAGGGGAGTATGGCAGGCAGTGCTGGAGTTAGCAGAGAATTAACATTCTTGTCAGCAGAGATGAGGCAGGACTATAATTAAAACTTTGCCCTTGGAATAGCTGATTCATTTGCATTTTATTCCACACGTTGGAAAGAGGGGAAAAACACACGAAGATTTGCAGCCCTGGTTCTTGCCTTGCTTGGATCGGCACAGCTCTCGATCCCAATTCTTTCCTTAGCATTCGGTTCACTAACATTTATTGCAGGCCTACTGTGCGCCACTCACAGTTCGAAAGACAGATATAGCCCCCGGCCATGTTCTAGCAAGAGAGACTTGCCGACAAAGCATTACATTAGCAGTTTCCTATTGCCACCATCACAAATTACCTCAAATTAGTGGCTTAAAACATGAATTTATTATCTTATAGCTCCTGAGGTCAAAAGTCCAAAATGTGTCTTACCGGCTAAAATGGAGGTGTCAGCGGGGTTCCTTTTGGAGGCTCTAGGGGAGAACCCATACCTTTGCCTTTTCCAGCCTGCATGTCTCAGCTCATGACCTCTTCCTCCGTCTTCAGAGCCCACAGCCCAGCATCTTCCAGTCTCCCTCCTACTTGGACCCTCCTGCTCCCTTCTTCTAAGGACCCTGCGATTGCATGGGGCCCACCTGAAGAAGCCAGAGTCATTGTCCCCTCTCAGGATCCTTAGTCACATCTGCAGAGTCCCTTTTGCTGTGCGAGGTAACATATTCACAGGTTCCAGGAATGAGGGCGTGGACATCTTTGGGGGCCGTTGTTCTGCTGACCACAGTTACCACGGGTGACTTAGAGTGAGGCGAGTGCTCGGGAGGGAAGTCGTGACCAAGGAGTGGAATCTACAGGCCCCCGGCGGAAGAGTGGAAGGAGCAGTGTCGGGTGGGAGGTGAGGGCAGGGCCACAGCTCAGACAGAGGCCCAGAGGCAGGAAGGGTGGAGATGGGGACACCAGAAGGATCCTGGGATGCCCAGATCACAGGACATAACCAGAGCAGAGCTGGAGAAATTGGGCAGCAGGAGCCCTTGTCTAGGCCTTGCCATCCAAGGATTTTGGCCTTTATCCTGAGAAACAGGAAGCCACTGGAAAGCCAGGATTGCCTGTGGTCAGGAGCTCAACTCTAGACAGCCCAGCCTCAGTGCTGTTAATACTCTGGGCCTGAAGTTCTCTGTAGTGGGGCCTTTCTGTGGGCATCAGAGGATGTTCAGCAGCATCCCAGCTTCCACCCACGAGATGCCAGTAGCATCTTCCCACCCCCACCCCCCACTACATTGTGACAACCAAAATGTCTCTAGAAGTTGCAAGTGGCTCCTGGTGGGAATCTCTACTCTAGGGTCCTGCTGCCCCAGTTCAGATCCCAGGCTACCCCTTCCCAGTGTGGGTCCCCAGCAAATTCTGAGTCCCCATTTCACTATAAAATGGGTAACTGTAGTGAGGTTCTTGAACCCAAACCATATCGATCTTTACCCGACAAACATTTGCTGAACACTTACTCTGGGCTACCCTGAGGCGAGTGCTGGGAGCATGGCCGGGGCGAGGCTCCCAGTCTCCTGGCGGCCTGCGCGGGGCGCTGGGTGAGGAAGCGGGTCGGGCAAGAGAGGCCGCCTGTGCGAGCACCTGAAGAGGGGGCCCCCTGTGTTCAGAGCAGCGCAGTTTACAGTAGCTAAGATCTGGAAACAGCCCAAGTGCCCAGTGGTAGATGAGTGGATAAAAAAGCTGTGGGACATTCATACCATGGAATACTACGCAGCTGTAAAGAAGGAGGAGCTCTTACCCTTTGGGACAGCGTGGAGGGACCTGGAGAATATTATGCTAAGTGAAATAAGCCGGGCAGAGAAAGACAAACATCACATGATCTCGCTTATACGTGGAATCTAAAGAACTTAATAAACTGATGAACAGAATAGATTCAATGACATGGATGCATAGATCAGACTGAGGAATGTCAGAGGAAGGGAGGAGGGCAGGTGGGTGGAGGGGGAGAGAGTAACCAAAGAATTTATATGCATATACGCACAACCCAAGGACACGGACAATGGTGGGGAGGGGGGTGGGACGGGGTGGAGTGGGTCATTTGGGAGAAAAAGGGACATCTGTAA